ACTTCATGTGATAACATCTGTACTCCGTATAAAAATTATAAAAGTTTTCGAAAACTTTTTCGATAACAATATTGATTTTTGCTCTGAAATATACGCATAAAAGTCATGAAAAGTTTTTAATAAAATAATTGTATTTGTAATTTATTTATTTATTTTAGACATATTTCACTTCATCAAGCTCGTACAATAATTTGTGCACTTAAAGATGCCACATTTTCTGAAGAATTGCTTTGAAGAAATTTCTAAACAATTAATAAAAGGAAAAAATAGCAATTGAACCTATGACTGAAGCGTTATGGAAATTTTATAAAGCACCAACAGATGATAATACAGATGTTATTATTGGAAAAAAATTCTTTCATTTATTGTTGGATAAAATAAATAAATTGAATTATTTTTCAGTTTGTATTTATTTAATAGAAATGAAGTTAGTTCAAAATTAAATCATATAACAAATCTTATTCAAGCTAAACAAAAAAAATCATCATTTTGTATATATTTCTTGTTTACTTTTACAATTATCAGCAACATAAAAAAAACGATTTTTTTTAAATCTTAATATTTTATTTATATATTTTAAAATAGATTAATCAAGTAATAACAAAAATAAAGTTTAAATTTAAATTTTTTATCTTTTTTTTTAAGAAATTTTATTTAGATGCTGATAATGATAATAATCAAAATCAATTAATCATAACATTATTCTCAAAAAAATGCAAATTCAGCATTAATGTTAGTTTGATTTTTAAATTGTTTAGGAAAATCAGCTGTTGAAATTGTTGATTATGTTGATTGTACAATTAAAGATGAACTTTTATGTGGTAAAGAAGCTAAACAATCATTATCAGATAATAAAAAATTATAACAAAAAAACGAAAAAAACGTGAAAGACCAGATGAAGATGATGAAAATCAATCAACATCAATTAATGATACAACTAATAATTCATCAAATCTTACTGTAAAATTTAAATATTTTACATAAAAATTGTTTTTTATTATATTTTGTTTATTTAGTTAAATTCAACAAATAATCAAACAATTGATGATGAACAAGATGATGAAATGTGTCAAGTATTTGGTGGTGCTGAAGCGGAAGATCTAGTTGATAACAAAAATTAATTTATACATTCAATCATTATGTAAAAACAATTCATTATTAATGCAATATAAAAATATTCTTGAACAAGTAAACAATCTCAAACTATTATTTCAATATAACTAATCATCCTTTAACAACGTTTACATACAAATGTATCACTAAAAAAACAGAAAATATCACTTATAACTTCACTATTGTATGAACTGTGTCGAGTAACTTTTTTTATATGAGAAGTTACATTATCAAGCTAAGAGAAACTTCAAAAGTATTGTTTCGCCTTTGATCGAAACACCAAAAATTATCATACAATAATATTTTCTTAATGACTTCGATTTCTGGTGTTATCGTTTGATAAATATTTATTTTGATGTATGTACCCTACATACTCACAATGAAATTTTTTTAATCTAATCTGATAGTCACGTCCGAAGGTACGAGATAGTTTTTTCAATGATTTGTATTCGGTGACTAGCACATTCTACACATTTTTCAGGCAATCTTGGAGGTGATCGTATAAGAATCAACTTATCGAAGTCTATCCAGTTATTTATTTAGTTTATATTTTGAAAAAATCTATTCCTTAGATCGTTTGTATTTCACACAACGTTTAGGTTTGATTTCAGTTAAGAAAAATCAATTTCTACTTCGCAAATTTCGATTCATGATCTAGAGAGAGTTTATTTTTGTTGATTTCAGATTTCTAATTGAAAATAATAAACTTTTTTTTTCTTTTTTTCTTTAAGATTCTTCTTCATCGAAATGAATATCATGAAGAAGAATAACAATTAAATGTAACAATATGTTTATGTAAATTTATATTACTATCAGTTGAACTATGCATGAAACACATGCAAAAATATTATTTGATTTATTAAAAACTTCTACATTTGAAAGTGTTAGGGTTGCTATTATGGTTTTAATGAATGATTTTTATCTAAAGTAAATCTTTAGAAATGATTTTATTTCTAATGTATTTATTAAAGATGATTGAAATAGAGTTCTCTTGGAATTTAATTTAAAAATCATTGCTATATAAGACAAACAATTAGGCATTCAATGCATATGTAAAAAAGAAAATAGTTGCCATTATAAATGATTTTGTGAAGATATTCTTAGAAAATCTAGTTGTCTTCTATTGGAAATAAATAAATAATTTTTTTTTCTTCTTCTCTTTTGTTTGATCGAATTTCTTTTATACAACATTTCAATTTTTACTGTACATTTAGATGTAGAGTTTTTCTATATTTATTTCAAATATTTTTTTTAGATAGTAAAAGAATATATATATATATTTTCAAGTGTTTGTGTGTCTTTTTCTAATCAAAATACGTGAAGGTAAATCTATCAATAACTCATCTTTAATAAGGGAGAAAATTATTTTAAGATATACAAAATGGTATTTACATCAAAAACAATTTGTGAAACAAGAGTAAAAGAAGATTCATTTGGTCCAATTGAAGTACCTGCACATTGTTACTATGGAGCAGAAACAGCTCGATCAATGAAACATTTTAATATTGGTTTATCTACTGGTAAAAAAAATTTTTTTAATTAATCTTTTACAAAATTCTATATAGATTAAATGCCATTACCAATGATAGAAGCGTTTGATTTATTTAAAAAAGTATGTGCAATGGTGAATGTAGAATTTGGACTTGAAAAAAAAATTTCGAATGCAATTATACAAGCATGTGCCGTTCATGAGAAAATCCAATGGCTTGATGTTGAATCATCTTCTATGAAACGAATTCTATGTGCTGCTGATTATCCTAATTTACATGGACTCGGTCTATTCAATACCGAAGAA